ATCCAATATCGTCAAATGATCAAAGTTCTTCAACCTTTTGGAAAAAAATATATGATTAATACAATTCCCAGAAACACAAAGATTTACCAGAACGCTCTATGAGGTCCCTTGACTCTCGTTACCGTCTCATGGAAACTCATTGTCGGAGGTTTAATGGATGCTTGAAGCAAATCGAATATCGCAATCCTAGTGGGACACAAATCCAAGATAGGGTGAGTATTTTGTTTTAAGTTCAATTTCGGTTCATTTTATTTGCTTGTTTTATAAGTATACTTACAATTATATATATTTTTGTTTGTAGATTGAGCAAGCCGAACGATTGTTTGAACAAGACCTAAAATATAAAGATGGCTTCAAGTTTCATCATGTGTTCAGACTATTCAAAGAGTTTGGAAAATTTGATGATAATGTGTCCCAACTACGATCTCGTCGTCGGGATTTCGATACACTCAATGACTCTTCCGAGTCTGACGTTCCATATGATGGACAACCAACACCAGAGTCTCCGGGATTGTCGCCTTTTAGTCCTCAACAAAGTGACGATGGTGTTGGTGGAACATCCTCTCAACGTCCAATTGGAGCAAAGAAAGCAAAATTGAAGAAGAAAAATGAAGACCAATTTTGCCAATATTTTCAAACTCTAAATGCTAAAAGTGATACTATTGTTGATTTGTTGCAGAAAGCCGATGAACGTCAAAATTTCCAGCTTCAATTGCAGAAACAACAAATCGATTTGCAGAAAAAGAGGGATGAAGATAGAATTTTGATGATAGATTTGAATTCTCTTACGAATCCCATGATACGTCGACATTGGGAGCAAAAACAAATGCAAATTTTACAAGAAAGAGAAATTGAGCAACAACAATCTCAAGCAACCCAACCATCATCTAACACGGGTCAATTTGGATTTCTCGACGATATCGGGCATGACGGAGGAAATTTGAATGATTATTATGGTGACAATTAAGTCTATGAAATCGTCTATTTGATAATCTTTTTTTAATTTTTATTTTTATGTTTCGTATTAATTATTGTTGTAGTATGTGTGAGCTTTTAAGATGAGTTTTTAAGTTTATTTTTATGTTGT